GCGCAACGGGGGGATACAGGGGTCGCAATTTTGCGAGGTGTGAACGGTGGATTAGTCGGCAGTGGGGAGGGAAAAAGGGAAGTTCTAGCAGGACACTACAAGAGACTTGGAGTGCCCTCGGAGAATGAAGCTTTTGACCAAGCGTTTAAGAAGGAGGTGGACGCATGGGCCCAAAAAGAAGAAGAGACATCGAAGGCAGACGTTGGGAACGTAGAACTAGAAAAGGAGTTCACTGAGGACGAGGTTGAGGCGTGTGTGAACAAGCTGAAGTGCCACAAAGCAGCAGGAGCGGATGGGATAGTCAACGAGTTCATGAAGTTTGGGGAGAAGGGGATGATCCAACTGATGGTATTGCTGTACAATTGGGTGTGGAAAAGCGAGTATACGCCAAGTAGATGGACGGAAGGAGTGGTTGTGAACTTGTTTAAGAAAGGAGACAAGACTGACCCAGGAAACTACAGGGGGATCACACTGTTGAACACAGTAGGAAAAGTGTTCTGTAAGCTGCTGAACGATAGGATAGTGGGAGTATTGGAGAAGGAACATAGCATTAGTGAGGGCCAGGCAGGTTTCCGCAAGAAGAGGGGGTGCGTAGACCACGTGTTCACGGTAGGGAGAATCATCCAAGGTAGAAAGAGGGCGGGAAAGCCGACGTACTGCTTCTTCCTGGACGTGAAAAAGGCATACGACACCGTGTGGAGAAATGGGTTGTGGAAACAACTGTCCAAATACGGGATCAAGGGGAAAATGTGGAGAGTGCTGAAGAAGATGACAGAGTGTACGAAAAGCGCGGTCATGCTAGACGGAGAACTGTCAAAATTCTTCGACATTGAGCAGGGGGTCCCACAAGGTTGCACGCTGTCCCCAACATTGTTCCAGGTGTTCATCAACGATCTGTTGGAAGTCGTAGAGGCAGTCCGGAAGGGAGTAAAAGTAGGGGACACGGAAACGTCGGTTTCAGGAATGCTGTTTGCGGATGATTTTGTCGGTATGTCGGACACCCCTGAGGGACTGCAACTGCAAATTGACGCGGCGAAGAAGTTTACTGATAAGTGGAGATTGTCTGCCAACGTTCAGAAGAGTGCCGTCATGGTTTGCAACGAGAACAAGGAGGAACCAGTAGAACATAGATGGAAGTGGGGGATCGAGGAGATTGCAGTAGTGGACCAGTACACATACCTCGGAGTAGAGATCGCAAAAGACTGCTCGTGGAATGCACACATGTCCAAGGTAGCGGAAAAGGGCAAAGCACGAGCAGGGAAGCTGCACCCAATACTCGCAAACCGGCACCTCGATACACGCATCAAATTGACGGTTTTGAAGAGCGTAATCGTACCGCCGCTAGAGTACGCCGGAGAAGTATGGGAAGGAAATAAGAAGGTAGTGAAAGAACTCGAGGCGGCGCAGATGAAAGCAGCGAAAACCATCCTAGGATGCTCCAGGCGCACAAGTAATGCAGCCGTGAGGGCAGAATTGGGGATCCAATCCCTACGGTCGGGAAGAGACGCGAGGAAGCTGACCTGGCAGTATCGCATGTGCGGGATGGGAGAGGAGAGGTTGCCGAGAATTGTATGGGAGGCGAAGTGGGCAAACAAAAAGAGGGGTAGACAACCCACGGAATGGGTCAAGGTTGTAGAGGACGTATGGAAGGGGCTCGACATCGGCGAAGATGAAACGCTGGAAACGGAGGGTCTACAGGGGTTCAAGGAGAAGATATCTGTTGCTTGTGCCGAGAGAGAAGAACAGAATCTGAGGAAAGAATCCAAGGATAAGGAGGGTCTAGAAGTGTACGGAATGTTGAAGGAAGGAATAGGGTTCAAGGACTACCTACATGGACCAATGGATGCAGGAACAAAGCTTAAGGTCAAATTCAGGACCGGGGACATAGGCCTTCGAGAACGTCGACGAAGACATAGGACGGTAGACGAGGAAGACGACGAGTTCAAATGTGATTGCGGCTTCGAATGCGAAGACCGTGTTCATGTAGTCGCGGAATGTCCGTTGTACAAGAAGGAGAGGGAAGTGTACGTGACTGAGCTGGGAAAAATAGATGGAACGTACAGGGAGATGTTTGAGGCATGGAATAGAGAGGAAAGGACGGTAGCTGTACTGGGGCATAGGAGGTGGGTTGAAAAGGCGGGAAGGGATATCGTTAGGATAGACAGACTAGGGAAGACATTTTTGAGCCACCTTTGGCAAAGTAGAAAGGAACGATTGGCCATCGGTGATCGGTCCTGTGGGAACAATGCTCCGTCAGGACGCGTGGTCAATGGCCTAGCCGCTAAGGCATGCAAAACATAAGAGTACGCCCCCCCCCCCCCCCCCCCCCCCCCCCNGTCGAATATGTGGTTTTACGTTCTATCAACGCTGAAACTCCGATCCGGGGCTCTCGAGAAAAATATTAATCTTTGAAACTCTCAACCTTCCTCTTGGTTTTACAACGTTCGGTACTGCATGCGCGAGGTAAACATGGCGGCGCGTTCACCAATTGTTGAGGGAACGTTTTCTGGCGCATGAACGAGGCACCCCGGTAGTTGTCTTCTTTAGTAGAACTGATGCAATATTTTCAATAGGAGTACCATGCTTCGTAATGGCATGCTTGCTTGCTGGTCTTGCGTCCTAGTCATACAGTATCCAAGCTCTCAAAAGCTTATCCTCAAGGCCTCGAATACGTGCTCTACACGTCACGTTCTTGTGTCCTAGAGCTCTTTCCGAAAACCAACCGTAGGGGGGTTGGTTCCGAGCGGGATATCTGACCATTCATCGCGAGGACACCAACACCTAACGTCTGGCACTGTTCATGCTTGCGTATTCCTTTGCGAACAACGACTAGTTCTCCGAAAATACGTAGACTTGCTCGAAGTTCTACGCACAAACCTCCAAAACAAAGCAAGTTGATTTTCCACCACCGTCTGCTGTAAAGCCTGTACTAGTCATTTCGGCGTGCATTGGGTCGGGTCGTTGAGGAAATACGAACAAAACAAATAGAAGAGTTTGGACAGCGCAGTGATGCACCCTTCGGAGAAGCACACAACATCGGCTTCAATAGCAAGGATGATAGGACAGTTGCAGAGCGGTGCGATGAACTAACTCTAAACCCACCTGGCATGCGACAAGTTCGAATGGGCACGGGTCATAGTCATCGTCTGAGTCAGAGTCCCACGACTCGCTTATCGTTCTGCTGCTGCTGCTGCTGCTACAGAGCTCGGTCAATGTGCACTGGTCATCGGGAAGGACGGTGTGCGCGGCGCAGCCTGTGTGACGCGCGTTGATTGGTCAATGGTAACGGGATGAGTGCTGTCCATTGTTGCTTGTTGGTGAAGCGACGACCCGAAATAGGTCAACGGGTCTCAAGTGTCTGTAAGAGATATCATCGTTCGAAAGAGAAAGGATCTCTGGAATGTTGCCGTAGGCTTCAAGTGTATCACCGAAAGAGGGAGAGGTGGCATTGGGAACGCTGGGCGATGCAAGGTTTGATTCATTTTAACGCGAGAAACACTCCTGGGCAGTCCGTCCAACAAAAAAACAAGTCTATATATATGCATAGAACATGCCACCGTTTCGGTTTTTTCAGTTCAAAGACAAGCGTGTCAGGCTTGTTCTGCACGGATGATACCGTAAGATCAATGAACGTCCCCATTGCGCGGGAATAAATGTGAAGATTTGAGGGGTTCATCACTCATCAACCTGTCGCTCGCCGGATATGCATACATGTTGTCAGGGGTCAGAACAAAGTGTTCAAAGTTAATTGCGAGGTGGATGGGCACATCTGACGATGTATCGAAGGGTAAATATCATCGTGGGGGTTGCAAAATAAGTGGAGGCTGGACGGTTAAACCAAGGAAGGAGAGCGGAATATACCCCTCCTGTATGTCGTAGTAGGTTCGTGTTGCATTGGCATGCTAGCGACTGGAAAATCGTGTTGTCATACGAAGACTACAGATGGAAATTACCACTATCTCCTGGAGACTCACTGGCGAATCCGAGGAACGGAGCATTGTCTCGACAGGTTTCGGTGTCCCCGTAAAGGCAGCAGAGCATGTTTTCCACGCCGGAGCACGGGGTATCGGCGGTGACCATGTCCTCGCACGACTCGGACCCGTCGTTGACCGATGGTGCCATCATGCAGGACAGGCAGTCGGCGTCCTGGGCGCAGGTTGCGATTTCGTCCGCGCAGGAAGTGACCATTTCCTGTGGGGGATGGTGGCAGCAAGGACAAGATGTGTGTGAGCGTGTAAAGTACCACGTTGGTCTGGTGAGCTCTATATAACTGTGCTCTTGATGAAGGAGTTGTTTGGTGTATGTGGGTGCTACGTATATCTTAATCAAAGAGTACTGCTAGAGGATGTGCCATGCTTCTTCGGTGTTCTTGTGTCCAGCGCCCTGGACGTAGTGAGGTGTGCATGTCGTGCCTAGTGGATGCCCCATTCGTGCAACAAGTACCAGATTGTACTCTGGGGATTCTCAAAGTTTTTGTTGATCAGCGGCGCTTTCACGGGGGGTTTCTCAGGACATGCCCGTACCACTTGGCAGCAGCACTGTGTCGCATATAAGCAAAAAACAAAATCTGGAATACTGCAATCGCATTCACAAGGAGATGTTCGGATGATGTGCACCACACCGTCCAGCTTGGATAAACGTACCGTAGCGTCGTCATCGCCGGCACCACCGCCGTCGACGTCGTCGTTACCGTCGGTTGACGTCGTGTGGTTGCAGAAGTCCGTCAAAGTGCAAGATTCTATCTCGGCCGCGCAGTCTGATTGTCACGTCGAAAGGGATGATTCCACAACACCAGTGGTGGGAGGAGCAGCACGTATGCATGTCGAGGGTTGTTATCTGTTGTTGTCAAAATGATCGTGCGTCTTTTCGTCGACATTGATTTCGGTACTGCTATTGTTGACTTTGTGAGACCAGATGGTCGATGCTGCCCGCTGTTCAAACACCCTTCCCTTGACCACCGTACGGTGAAGACCAAACGGTACCAAACTCATCGCTTCAGGCTGTTTTGCAAGGTTTCAGCTTGTCTAGCATGACCGGGACAAATGCGAGCCGCACTCACTGACGTAGTCCACAAGATACTCGTTGTCGCTGCAGGCATCCCCGACGATGCAGCACAAGTAGTCGGCCACGTTAGCGCAGTCCGTCATGTTGCCGGTATCGCACGTCTCGTCGACGGCAACCCCATTGAAGCACGCCATACAGGTCGAGTCTTCGATGCAGGCGCTCATCTCGGTAGGGCACAATTCTGCATCATTGTCTTCAAAGTCGTCCACCTGTTGAGTTTCGTTTGTCGACGGAAGTCAACGGTGGGTATTTGTCGTCGGTGGGGTTTGACAGGGGGTGGGGTGGTGGTCTACTGGTTGATCTACATAGTCGCCGAGGTTTCCTCATGGTTGCCCAGCGAATCAGGATGTGCTATGGCAGAAGAAAACTCTTCCAATTGAAGGCGCCGTAGCTGTAGCAGCAGGAGCAGCAGGGTTGGCAGCAGAAGTGGATTTAGAAGCAGCAGCTTGTTCGTGTTCCGTCGTTTCGCACATGGTTTCTTCCGCGTGTTTTGGTGCATGGGCCGCATACGCGCTGTCTTTTTCGGAGATACCTCGATGTCGTCTCCGTCGCTACCGCCCCCGTTGTTGTCATCGCTGTCGAATGTCGTCGAATGATCACAGAAGTCGGCGAACGTGCATATTCCGACCTGGCAGCCTGAAAATCAGTTGGACGGCGACAGGGGTAGACAAACAAAGGGAAACGGAACCAGGTTAGTGGTGCTGACGGCGTTGTTCTTGCTGCTGTTGATGTTTGATTGATGACGGTGTGCTCGACGAACTTCTGCTGCTGCTGGACATTGGTGCTGACGTTCTTAGTATTGGTAGGGACGCTAACGGTCCTGGGTGTCGTTGCTGGCGTCGGAGGCCAGGGGGAGCGATATCACCTGCGCGCTGTTCAAGAACATCCCCGAAGTACAGCCAAGAGTTGGTACGAAACGCCGTGCCAACATCATCCAAAGTTCAAACAGTGACAGTTAAGGCCAGGAAGATACGTCTAACTCACTCAAGTAATCGGCGAGCAACTCGTTGTCGCTGCAGTCATGCCCAACAATGCAGCACAAGTAGTCGGCTATCGCGGCGCAGTCATTGATGTCCTCGGGATTGCACGTTCCGTCCATGGTGACTAAATCAACGCAGGCCGTACACGCGGAGTCTTCCTCGCAAGCGTTGTATTCTGCAAAACAGAGTTGTTCCACGTCGTCATCTTCATCGTCATCCGCTGCCTGCTCGAGAAAAAAAGAGTCCAATGGTCTTCTTTTTGTCTTCTTTGGTGGGACGAGGGTGGACAAAGGTCTGGGCAACCTTCCTTCCTTCGTTGGTCGTTGGTCTCTCGAACGTTGAAAGAATCACATCAATGATCCAGTGAACCATCTGCACTCTACGAGGAGCTGTAGCAACCTGAAACGGCACGTAGCTGTGTCTTGTATCGTATCATTGTTGGTGTTTTCGCTTTCGCCGTCGATGTGGTCGCAGGAGGAATTGGTGTGGGTCTGTGGGGTGGGTGTGGCAGTATTACTTCGGATCGTTGCTGCCAACGGCGACCAAACCAATATTGATTGATCGATGGGAAAGTCTGATTGATCTGTAGGCTGGCTTGTTCCTGACATGGAGAACAATTGCGCAGTACGTGCTCGACCTGTCCACGACATCCTCCAAATATTCGTAAAAATGGACATCATTGATGAAAGGCACTTCGATTGGTCGTCGAAACTATTGTGATCCAGGCAGAGAGCAGTTGTACCACCGCGGCACTGGTGCGCGATACGCCTTCGACGCTGAGGTTTCGGTTGTTGGGGCTGCTTCGCCAGTAGGTTCGACACCTCGCTCTCTTTCCTTTGCATTCTGCCCAGAATGTTCGGTTGATTAGGGGAGCAGTCACCCACACACAATGGGCGCTAGGCACACAAGGCAAGGAATACGCACACCTGATGCAAAAATTTCGTTGCCAATCGACACCATGGATAAAATCATAATGTCTACAGCGACAACAAGAGCACTACCGCGCAGTAAGTGAACCGTCGATCGAGCGCCAAACGTGGCACGAACCGACCGTAGGGCTGCTGGCTGCTCGGCGCCCGCGTCGGAACTAGAACCGAACGCAACTACATTTTTTTTTCTACCTTGTTTTGCCCTTACATATTGCGGTAGAAATAGACCTTCTGAACGGCACAACATGTTTACCTGCAGGGTCCTGCCGAAAAGGGTGCGGTTCGGGTCCAGAAAGCGGTGGAGCGGATCGAAGCCGTCGAGGGAGCTGGCGCCGTACGTTGCTGCAGC